AAGAAAAAAGTGAAAATTTCCCTTCTCGCTACCTTAATCGAAATTGCCTATCATCAAATGTGGACAGCACATTATTAAGCATGGAAATGTCCCCGAAATACTTTCGCGTTTGTCGAATCCCACACGATGTTTGACGCGACTACGACGCTATGACCTTTGTTTGTCCTGTTTTTACGTTCGATTTCACGCATAACGCGTGATTCTCGCAGTGAACAGAAAATGGTCTATTTGACCATAGACAAAACGGTACATGGTGATCACCTCAAGATAGGACTAACCTCTTCTAAGGCATAGTTAACCATCACACACAATAACATGATAAGTTGCTGTTCTTACCTGTTCCTCAAGAACCCTCAGGCAGTGTTTCATAGTTTGCACAGTGTTTTTAACATCACCAAAGCGATGAGCAAATGACCAATCAGATACCCAGTGATATCCACTGCTGATAAACCAATCAGGCACCTAGAGTGAAGCAATTTACACATAGGATGTCAAACTGAATACACCACAGGCCTTTCTGAGCTTGAATGCATTTGTCTCATTAACATTGAACTTCTACTGTTTTTAATTCTATTACATGTTCACAGTGCATATTGTGAGTATATGAAGCCAAAGAACTTATGTCTGAATAATGCTAACTTGTGCATGCATATTGCTAACTTAATTGTGTATGAATAATGCTACTAGTAACTTGTGTATGAGTGGTGGCTAATTTGTGTATGAGTGGTGGCTAATTTGTGTATGAGTGGTGGCTAATTTGTGTATGAGTGGTGGCTAATTTGTGTATGAGTGGTGGCTAATTTGTGTATGAGTGGTGGCTAATTTGTTTATGAGTGGTGGCTAATTTGTTTATGAGTGGTGGCTAATGTGTGTATGAGTGGTGGCTAATGTGTGTAAGAGTGGTGGCTAATTTGTGTAAGAGTGGTGGCTAATTTGTGTAAGAGTGGTGGCTAATTTGTGTATGAGAGGTGGCTAATTTGTGTATGAGTGGTGGCTAATTTGTGTATGAGTGGTGGCTAATTTGTGTATGAGTGGTGGCTAATTTGTGTAGTGTAATGCGAATAATTTGTATATGAATGTGTGTACGACTAATTTGAGTTTGAATAGTGGCTAGTTTGTGTATGAATAGTTGGTAATTTGTGTTCCAATAAGGCCGGTTTGTGTTCCAATGAGGCTAATTTGTGTTCCAATGAGGCTAATTTGAGTTCCAATGAGGCAGATTTCTGTTCTAATGAGGCTAATTTGTGTTCCAATGAGGTTAATTTGT